AAGCAGTGCATCCAATGCAACTCTTTGGAGATGAAAGCCTGGAGTGGAATAGTATGGATGGTCTGAGACAAGCAGAACATAGAGAGGTGAAAGCAATCTTTGCTTGAGCAGAAGCATGGCAAAAAATGCTCATCTATGCTTCAGCTTTCCTTTGGCACAGAGTGGGAACATAGCCACATTTCCATTTTCAGAGTGAGAAATCTTTATGATGGCGCACTACAGCAGTTGCTGTAATCCAGGAGGTGCAGTAGGCTTATGGAGAATGAAGGGCACTCGTAACACTGTATGTGCCTGACTTGCTAGGCAGTCTCAGAGATTTGGGTACCAACTCCATTACAAAAGTTTTAACTCCTGTGACCTGAAAATCTCTGCAATCATGTGCACGTCTCCAACATTCATTGTTCATATTGCACTGAAAAGAGCAAGTGATGCAGACTTAGCTATATATACAGATGATACCTGAGTATATTTGAGCCAAGAGGACTGGACAGCCTGGGACAGAAAAGCCTTGGAAGAAGATCCTCACAACTATTTACATCCATTCTGCACAGCTATGGAGGCTTTTGAATCTAGTCAGAGAGCTATTTTCTCTATCCTGGTTCTGAGCTCCACAAGTTCATGATGGGAGTTTGTCCAGTGTTCACTGAGCAGGAGAGAAGGGTGCATGAAATGGACCAATCTTCAAGCAAAAACATTTAACAAGGACAGAGTAGTTAATAGAAATTTAATCATATAATTTAAGTCTATTTTGCTTTTCGAAGTAGTTTTGTCAGTATGTAGGGATAGTTTTGAAGCCACTAACTCTAGTGTATTTCTCTCTTAATAGAAGCAGGCCTTAAAATCCTCTGCATAAAGCATAGTGCTGACCCTGGGCTCTTTGCTTTCACTGGGCACATGCCTGCCAATGTACCTCACACCAGGGAAGAACTAGGAACAGACAAAGCAGATTGCCAAGTGCCATGGCTAGAGAATCTGGTCACTGACAGACACGAGGCAACTTGTACATGAGCAGCTGGGCAGGGCCAGCTGCTGTGCCAGCTGCTGAACACTCTGCACTTCCTTCCCCTCTACTGCTGCCTCCCACACACTGTGCTTACAAGGGCTGCATTACTGCACCAGACACTTCATTCCGTGCTTTGAAAGTCCAGGCTAATTGAGTGACAAAGTCATTCTTCCTTCCATTTCCCTTACTATAAAGCTCCTTTCATGTCCTGACCTTCTCCTCTCTGTCCTTCTCAATGCCTGGCTACGCCAAGACCCAAAAGGGCACACAGAGGGGCATCTGTTCCCTTCCAAAGGTACAGTAAGGCCTCAGCCTCACCAGAGCAGTTGGTATTTTGGGAATTCCTGGTGGGAATCAGGGAGGGAAATGCTAGCATAGCCAGGATCCCTGGGCAGAGTGCAGCCCCTCCACAAACACTATGCCATAAAAGAGCCTGCACTGTTTCTGCATTCCTTATCCAAGGGCAAATTTCTCATCCTCCACCAGGAAGCCATACAATTACTTTGACTGACACTGTTCCCCAAAGGCTCAAACATTAGGACTGGGGCTCTCCTGCACAAACTGCAAAAATGTGAGCCAGCAAGGTTCGGTCCCTTGCCTGCTTCCAGACCGAACACAACGTAAGAGAAGGGCAGAACAGATGGGAAGGATAAGGCTTCCAGGAGTCAGACAATATTACTCAGGTTGGACATAGTGATGAGTGTTACATGACTCACCTACCTAACTGCTTAGTTCTGATGAAGCAGTTTCTTAGAACCAAAAAGAAATTAAATAAGGAGAAGTATGATGCTTATATATATTAACCCCCAGTTTAATACTAATGCCAATCTTGCCCCATCAGTAGATCAATCTCTTACGCGGTTTAGCTTTTGCAAACTTTAAGCTTTTCTATTCCTATCATCTCTGTATTGCTGGTCTTGCAGTCCCTTCTGCCAGATATGGCCAGATGATCTCGAAGACTTTGTACTTCTGATTCTATGACTCTCTAGGCTCATATCAAAGAGTGACAATAAGCAGAACTGTATGGCCACCATGATTCCCACTGTTGGATGTCCAAGTATTATTTCCTAAGAAGATATGTGTTTTCCTTCCTATTTGGCTCCATTATCCCCTCTTTTCTATTACAATCCCCTATTCTCATCAGTTCAAGAGAGTACAGTCCTGTGGTTGCCCTCATCAAAGCACAAACAAGCAACATCTGAGACAATTTCCAGTTAGGCTCCCACTGATTCATGACATGATATTTTCCCTTCATAATACACAGATAATCTCAGCAAATGAGGCTTTTTTTTCTGCAAGAACTGTCGAAGTGTACTGCTGCATTCAAGCTTCCATGTGGTTGATTCCTCTCTGCCTCCCCCAAGTCCTCCTGTCTTAAACTGATGATCACTTTTTCTACCTGTACACTAACCAGCACAATCCACCCACAGACCATCCATCCTTCAAGACACTCCCACACATCCTTTCCAGACGAGAGGGGGAACCTCTACTCAGGCAGCATACAGCACGCACGGCAGCAGTAAATGGCAGCATTCCATGTACTGTGAACAACTCAGTGCCTAGAGCTTCTCCACAAAGGAGGAAGAAGAGGCTGCTGCCATGTTCTATGTTCAACATAGAAGTCAGATACTACTATAAGTTGTATGATGGTCCCAAAAGTGAAAGGGAGACTAGCTCAACCTTAGCTATTTGACATGATTATGAAGGACTATAAGCACCACGTTAATTCCCCAGAGGAAGTGGCTTCATTTCTGTGGAAGACTTCACAGATTTTACTCCTCTACAGATCTCTGTGAAGAAGAGCGTGAGATAAAAGCAAGTATACATTGCAGTGTAACATTATGTCTTATGCAGCACTAAATTCTTTGCATATATATGCATATATACATACATACGCATCCATATTTTGTATCTTTCTATGATAAATATTGGAGAAAGAACTAATAAATGCATAGAAATTACTTTTGTTATGAAGCAAATTATGATCAGGTGAAATGCACGGATTCTCTTTATTAGCTTGTATCCTTCTGGAGTGTTGATTTTAGTCTAAGAAGCAATGACAGGCTCTGTTTTGAGAGTGCAAGGGCTACTTTGCTCCTCAGACTTTCTTCTGTGTAAGCATCCAAAAGGAAGCCATCTGGCTGGAAAGATGGCTACGCTATCAATTATCAATATGCGGATACACTTTCAAGGGAAATGATATCCTTTCAAGGTTTGGCTAGCTTGTTTAGACAAGTGTACCAGGAGAGAATTTTCCTTAAGTACCCTAAGAGTGTAAAACTTCAAGACAGAATATTTGTGAAATAGCAAAATTTCAAAGGTCAAACAGGAAAGTGAAAAGGCAAGCAGGCTGTGAGCTATGCTATCAATGGCATACATTGTTCTGCCAGGAATCATAACTGGGAGGTATTCAAGTCCTTAGATAAGTAAAGAGAAAAGACCACAGAGAAAGAGATGTTACCTGATAAATTTGTGGAGTGCAGAAGTCAACAAGGCAGTTGGGGGAAAAAGCAGAACAAAAAGTAGAAACGATTCCCACATGCACGATAAGAAAGTACTCAGACAGTAAGCATCTCCAAAACATGACCAGCCTTCGCTCTGGCATCTACAGTCATAGCTGACTGCTGCCAGGCAAAGGAGTACTGCGTCCACAGCATTGACTGCTGATGTCTCAGCACCCCTTCTGTTCTCCTCCCAAGAACCGGGGAGGAGAAGTACAATGGATAAGTACAGCTGGCTCTGACTTTGCAGGACTAGGTAATGCTCCCAGACAAAAACACACGTTTGAGATCAAGGGTCACCTTCACCTGATCTCCAGTGTGCTACATGTACCTGCTGAAAATTCCCTGTTATTGGTTATACACAACAGACAACGCAGTGGTGAATACCTGCAACTGTTAGAATAAATAGGACCTCTTGGCATGGAGGTAAAAGGATTCCTGAAAAGTGTTCAGCTGAGAGGAAATAACTAGTTCTCACGATGTGCTTCTGATCTCTCCCAGTTTCTGCTACAAGTCCATTTCAAAACACATTTCTCAATTTGCACTTGGGCCTCCCATTTAATACATAACTATTTTACATATTCACAAAAAACTGCCTTCGGGGCAACTGCCTGAACAGACAATTGCTGCATTCTTTCTGTACAGTTTGAATAATTTTTTTTTTCAAATTTACAGTAATTCTGATCTCTTTTGGAGTTGTTTGCCATCGTGCAATATGGTATTCAAAATACATTCATAGCCAAACACTTCCATTTGAAATGAGTAACCTGATTTTTAGCAAATGGTTGTTTTTTTACATTCTATGCATTTAAATTAAAATTGATTGGTGCTATTTCCATCTTCCACCAATTGGACCACTCAGCTGTACTCCAGTTCCTCCAAAGAAGGGTGAAAATCAAGAATATATATCAGTTGCAAGCACTTAAAGCCAGGACACTGTGAACTACCTCTAATTACAGATACATGTCCATACCTGCAGTTATTAGTTACAGCTGCTTCTCATTCTTGTGTCCTGGAAAAATTGTACTGCTGCCATCTCCTCTGAGAAATGCTGAACAAGACAACTGCAGCTGGATGAAACCTATTAAACCTTCTGTGATCTACCAAGATTTTTATTTGAGACCTTGCTGCTGAAATACACATACTAGATCTTGCAAGTACAAGCACAGGTTCTATCTGAAGATCTTTTCCTTTAAGCGCAGTTGGCTGTTTATCTCAGAATTACTTCCAGGATATGGAACTACATTTAGTTTTAGGGCTCTGGATCAAAATCACTGCAGCCACCCAACCTAAGATGCTGATCTCACGCAGTAGTACTCTTCAAACTCTGAAATGTTTGAAGAATTGCAAAGGCTCACAGCAACCATAAGACTGTTTGGGCTGTTGAGCCTGAATTTGTCCTGTGCCCCACAACAAGTCCTACATTTGTTAACACTATTCAGCATCTCACACTTAAACCACTGCAACCAGCATATCAGTCTGCACACGGCACTGACCTTGCCAACATGATGAGACACAGCACCCACACAGCAGGCAGGAAACACAGGATCTTCCTCCTGGTTTGACACCAACTCAGCACATCACCTTGGGGAAGCCATGTCACTCCTCCTTGCCTGAGCTTTTCCAGCTGTAAGATATGGATTAAAATGTTCTTTGAAGTCTATCCAGATCCTTTGATAAAGGACAAAGATTTTAAAACATTATTCTTTACTGCAAACTCTTGAATTGCATCTTTGGCATGGGAAATCCTCTAGCACACCGCAAGTGCTAGCTCTGCTCCAAAGAGAAAACAGAACTCTGCATCACCTTATCATTATAGGCACTGGAAAAATACACTTTGGTTGCTGATACACTCCTGGATTTTGGCAAGTTTGTGCGTTATTTCTGAACACAGTCGCAAATTGCTTTGAGTTCAAAGAATTATTCAGCACTGCTCAGGGTTATCTAGGAGGCAAGCCAACCTCCGGCTGTATCACCCCATGTCCTTGGGAATATTGCTGTGGTTTGATGTGAAGCTGAGTGGATTGTGAAGACACACAGCTGGATTTCTGGACATCATCTAGTACTGTATATGTTCTGATCAATGTATTTTACTTGCCAGGGAGATTTTTAATTTTCTTATTTAGAAGAATGCATTTATGTCATGACTGTTTACATTGGCTCTCAGCGATCATTTTTCTGTTCTTCTCCTTCCCCTTAAAGATCATACAATATTTGTTCCAAAGCAGTAATGGTCGATGGAGCATGCACAGCTCCAGCACAGAGCAGGGAGGGTCCTTCTTATGTTACTGCTGTCAGCTTAGGACAAAAACTGCGATGAATAGGAAAAAATAAATAAATCTTTTGTTTTCCAAGCTAAATAGCCAAAAATGCAGCTAGAAAAGTTCCATAAAGGTTTAGCTTTCAGCAACACATAGTGGAAACAAAGCTGATTCCTCCTCTCACTGTGCCCCCTGACCTCGGAGTTTTATATGTCACTGCCGAGAAGGCCTCCAGTCACGGCAGCCTCTGTGCACCGCGTTCCCAGGACTTTCAGGGTTTTCCTCAGGGGATGCTTGAGTTGGGGAAAAAAGGGCTTTAGCACCAGCCTTCGATTTAAAATAGCAGGGGGAGTTTACTGATTAATATTCATGAGGAGAGAACAGTCTGCTTTTTGTTACCGCCACTGTTTCCCATGCAAGGTGGGTTGAGAGGGAGGAATACATTAAGAAACATATCCTACTGTCACCAGTGCCACCACCTTTAGAGATACAGAAAGCGAGGAGCCTAAGCAGAGCTCAAACGGTAAATATTTAACAGGGAAAGGACTTCCCTCCTCTTTCTGCCCGTATATATTAAACTCATTATTTCATTTTAACAAGGGAACTGTGTTTTCCTCAGCTCTTTACCCCCACCCCCCTCCTCAATTACATTCTAGCCTAAGTGGAGAGCTCCCAATGTGCTATAAATCCCCTCCACCACTAACACAATTGAATGTATTTCCCTGTTTGGTTGGTTCGTAGAGTCACTGCTAACACTCCTTTGCCAGTGGGAAACGTTGCTGCTATTCACTGGAGCACAATGAAAAGCAGACTGCTTCCTTCGCACTCAAACTAAGAAATTTAGGGATAACCCAGCTGAAGTCAGTGATTTTATACTGACCTAAAGATGCCATAATGAAAAAACATGAATGAGGAGAAGTTTTTTTGAACTCAGCTGCTAATTCAGGGTGCCTCTGGCTTTCAAAAGCACAGAGCGTGGTCTCCCCTTTGACTTCCTCATTCCTTCTGGCATCCACACTGTCATCTGCATCTGGGGATCCCAGAACCACGAGCAATTTCTGCCAATTACACTTACTGTCCAAAGCCTCTCTTGAGAGGATGAGTAAAGGACCCCTTAATTTCAGTGCTGTCACTAGGAGAACACAGCAGCTCATTTGGCAAAGCCAGCTGTTACTTGCTAACTCCTTAGAGATAAGTGGCCTTAAGAGCTGCAGCACCCACCTCCATCTCTGATGCCAGAAGGGAGGAACTGAGAGACCTCTCTAAAATACCTGGAGCAGCAAATTTATGTCTGTGCTCATAGCCCTCTAATAGCAAGGTAGAAGCAAAGTAGCTGAGGGGGCATCCACAAGAATTACCGCTTGACATCTTCTGTGCTGAGTGAAACAAAGCATGTTGGCACAACCAGGCTTCAGCCACCACAGCCACAGAATCCAGGCACCACAGCAGCGTGCACCGGGACATCCTGCGCTTTCCAGACACAATGAGCCAGGTAAGCTCATGCAGCTGAATACACTGATCCAAGCTAACCACAAACAGCCTACAGCTGTGTATTGTTGTGACCACAGCTGGATGCTAACCACATCACTTCAATTTCCAGCTTTTCCTCTTACCTCCACAGAACAAGAGCTCTGGTGGGCTAGAAAAAAGGAAGAGCAAGTGGTCCTTGTATGATCCACCTGCCACAGAGGGCAAAAAAGGATACACTGGGAGAACCGGCTTTACCCTGCTGGCAGAACACAGGGCACACCAGGTCTGTATGTCTGTGATCCCAGAACAGCCTCACTGTTTGACAGATGCCTAAATGCCATTAAATGGTTTGGTATGGCTAGCTTCACCTGGGGGAGGGAGAAAAGGAAGGAAAGAGAGGAAAGAATGGCAGAAGGAGAGACAAAAGAGAGAAATTACTTGTCTCACCCACAGCAGTTGTCCCTGCCCCAAAGGCCCTGTGCTATTGCAATGTCCCTCTATTGACGTAAGGCTCAGACAGAACCTTTTGCCAGTGAAAACATTCTGGGTTTGCACTTTTACAGAGGCAAAACCGTGAGGTAGCTGTATGGATGGAAGTAGTTTTACTTGTGTAGTTCTTGCTCCCTGGGAACAGAAATGTGCTCCTTTGGCACAGGACATCCACTATCACAAGAAGACACATTCCCACTGCTGGGGCAGTAAAACTGCTCTGGTGGTGCAGATAAAGCAGATGGAGAGATGACTCCCTGCTGCACTGGCAGCATGCTGGGGTGGAGACATGGCCTCACGTTCAGGTGCTTATACAGCAGCTCTGCAGATGCTGCTCAGTTGGGCTGTCTCCTACAAGCTGCGTGTAGCTGTGTATCACAGCTTGATTGCAGAGCTGTGGCTGCTAAAACCTGAAAAGTGAGGTTAGCCTCAGGACGGTGTGGGGCGTGAGCATTGCACGGAGTCAGGAACAGGTGGTCTCACTGTGCCAGCCAAGGCTAAGGGAGAGCTGAGCCCTTCTGAACAGGTCCGAGAAGAGGAGGGCTCTGTGCCTCTCCCTGAGCTGGGCTGTGGTGCGATCCCAGCTCTTGCAGAGCAGCCTTCGCTGGGGCTTCGCTTTGAAGAAATACGCCCGACTCCAAGTCGATTGTGAATGCAGAGCACGACCTATTTTAAGCAGGTAGGCCAAGAAAACCTCCATCTCTCTGCCTGTAGGGACGTGTTTCAGAATACGGAGGACTTACTTTGAAAATGTTTTCCATACTGTTTGATGTTGTGGAACCATCAGTGGGAATACTGAGAGCATTAGAAACCTGGGTGGCTCATTGATTTGTTCTAGTTTTATTAAACTGACTAAAGTTCATTCAGAAGTAGTCTCCCTTCCCTGCACTCAGCTACCTATTCCAAATGCTGTCTTGAAAGGGGCAAATGGAGAAAAAAGGGGAATTTGAAAGTTGAAAAATTTTCTAAATAAACCTTCAATGTGAAAATGGACTTAATAAAAGTATATGTTATTTATATCACTATTCTGTGCTCCAGAATTCTTCCTACTTAAATTCTAGATAAAACAGTGTTTGTGTGTGTGACATTTCTAATGATCACATGTGTATGCATGCTGAAGAAGAAAGACCCAGGAAAGTAAGCCCCCAAAGACATTACTTTTTTTTTTTTTTTTTTGTGTGTGTGTGTGTGTGTGTGTCAATCAAAGAAATGAATGAAAACTTAGACCATTGCCTTTTTTGTGAGCAAGAAGTTTGAGAATTACATTCCTGGTAACCTATACCCATGAAGTAATGATAGACAAATTAAACGGCTGAAGTCACACAAGACCAGCCCAGACCTTTCCCCTTCCCCTTCCCCCCAGAGAAAGATTAGACACCCGTGGATGTTTCCAAGGAACTTTACAAATTAAAGTAGAAGCTGTGAAAACCACCAGTGTTCAGCATCTCAGAGAGGAAGCTGGGAGCGCATGAAGGCAGGTACAAACCACTCAGGTCTGGCTGAAGAAGGGCAGAGGAAGAAGTGAGGCAGAGTTGGCACTGTGAGAGCTGGGTATCCCAGCATAAATGGCCCCTGTTGCCAAGCGGCATGGGTCAGACTGCAGAAAGCAGCAGGCTGGAGTATAACATGGAAGCATCTCCTTGTATCTGGTTCCAGACTTATCCATGCTGACATGATGCAGAGGTAGAACTTTAGAGAAGTCAAAAGATCTGCATCTGTACAGAAAAGGTGTGAGAACTGAATCTGATCCTTCTCTTTGCTCCTTCTATTGCTGAAACATGAATTCATTTCCATGTTACTAATCCTGACACTTAATTTTTATTACGGTCGTACTGAGAGACCAGGAGGGATTTGGAGATTTTTCTTCTCAGGCCTTTCTCCTCCATCTCTGCTTCCTCAGAAAAATGCCACAGATTTCATCTGCTACAGCTTAGCAATTTTTCTCTGAAAAGTACTGATAAAATAGCTTATTTCCTTTCAGAAGGCCATTTAAAGGCACGAGCAGATTAAAATTCATAATTCTTCCTGCTGTCTAATTCTGCATGTATTTTAAGATGCATTTGTACTTGAAAAAGATCTTTTAGAAAAAATCATTAATTGAATCTGTCTGGCTCTGTCATTCTCCCTCCCATTCTCCACCCAATGAATCAGTAAATTGTAACAAGAGAATCTGGCTAAACAAGTTCCTAATTCAAACGCCATCTTATGGACAAAGAAGTCTTTGAAAATAGTATCCGCCATCCGGCTCCTTGCGATGGAGCGGAAAGTTGTGTTTTTGCTGTTTGTGGAATTCATCTCTGCTGTCAGACTGTCAGACGGAGTGCAGTGCAGCACAGAGAGGAGTTTGGGTGGAGCGGGGGTGCAGAGGGAACAGAGAGGCAGCCCAGGGCGGGCAATTTCCTGCCAACTAGCACCTGGCTGCTGATAGCATTTCTCCCAGTAGAGTTCCAGATAAGGGGAAATTTTATACTGGTTGATTCCAGGTTATTGATAGAGCTTCCTTTTCTAAGGTCTCATCTTCTGCTCACTGAAATAATCGGCTTCAGTGAAAGCGCTACGGGGTCTCACAGAGCGCACAAGGCGAGCTTTCTTTGATCCCAGAATTAAATGAGTAGCAGAGGAGCCCCGCTCCCTAACAGGATGAGATTTCAGCTCTAAAGCTGAGCGTAGAACTCGTCACGGCTCTGTGCGGGCATCACGGAGCTGCAGCTCTCCCTGCAAGCCATGCTGCATCCACAGCCAGTGCTGCAAAGTTCATTAATTCATCTGCACAAAGTGGGTTCAAATTCCAGCACTGTTCTATCCAAGGCGGTTAGATCAGCAAACAAAATCATCCCAACTACTAGAAATCTACAAAACTGATTTCAGATACCTAATCATATTATTATAAAGCAATTCACTCTTTGCATGCGTGATATTTTTAGGTTTTTTTCCTTTATTGTTATCCTTTCTGAGTACCTGAGAGAAACAGAGCCCGAGGGAACTGGAATAAAAGGCATTTGTTCTAAGTCTAAATGTGAGGGGTATTTTGTATGAGGAGACCGGGCCCTTTTCCTTCACTCTCCTGCATCTTGTAGCTTCTTTGAGGAGCTGGTGGGAAGAGGTTAAAGGTTACCTAGAGCTGCCAGTAAGAGTGAAAAATGGTGGGTAGTGCCCCTGTTCCTGACTGCAAGTCCCTTTATTTCCCTTTGTCATGGCAATACCTTCCCAGGGAAGGCCTGAATGTTGCAAATTAGTGTTCCAACTTATCTTCCTAATTACTTCTTCAGGTGTAACAGTGAGCCAGCTGCTTGTGGGAACAAAAGGAACCGCTCAGCAATGCCTGTGCATCAGCATCTGTCACAAGCATTTTTAGGTTTATAAAGTATCGGGTTCGTTATTAAACAAACAGGATTTTCCTCCTTTTCTTGGGGAAGTAAAGATCTTGTTCTGACAATTTTGGCCTGTTACAAAACGTCCAGGGAAGAAATCTCACCTTATGCTGACATTTCTGAAAGCAACACAATTAGGAGAACAGCAGATAAAATCAGATGTGTGAGCTGAGCTTGAAGAAACAGAAAGCGTGCATTACTAAAAATGAGACAGACAGAAGAGAGCCCTGAGCACAGACTGGGGAGGCTGGCATCTGCTAGAGGTGCACGAACAAAAGCTGCAGATTTTATTTCCTAGCAAGTTTCTCATGTGCAAAAGAAAACTCCGACGAATGGGAAAGGATACAAATGTAAAGGACTTGATTTTGGTGACCACACACAAAAGAGGTCTCAGAAGAAAGGTTCAGCCCTTGTGTTCAGAACAGCAGCCTTAGAAACCTGCAAGAAATATCCTGCAGTGCTGTCATCTGCCCCCACTTCCATGACTCTTCTTGGGAAATGGGATGCTGCCGGGGAAGTTTCCTTCCAGGTCTAACAAACCTGCAGTATTCTGCAAGAATTTTCACCAATAAAGAACTGAAGCAACTCAAAAGTCAGGACAAAAAGATAACAACATTGTTCAGAACTCTCTTTGTCATCATAGGCAACACAGCTCGAGATCGGATACCAAACCCATCCTAACAGATGATGGTCCAGGAAGACAGATGAGCTAACCCAGCCAAGGCTGACCTAAGCAAGCTGCTAAATCCAGCAGTCACACAAACTGAGGCAGGAAAATCTGATTTAAAGTCAACTGCAGTGGAAAAATCTCTCACGGAACACCATCAAAGCAGACTGAACTCTTACCAACAATATAAATTCATACACACACACACATATATGTACTTATATGGAATTCGTGGCCAAAGGTCCTGTGCAGCTGTGCACAAGTGCAGAATATGAGCTGCAGTGAGATGAAAGAGCTCAGCACAATGAATGCTGGGCTGTCTTGGGTGTATGGCTCTGGGTGAAAACTGAATTGTTTGGCTATTTGGGTTCAGAAAGGAATGCTGAATTCTTAAACATTAGGCCTCAAGCTTCGTTGTGAATCTGACCATGGGAATGTACGAATTTTTCATCACTGACTGGAAAATCCTGTC